GCTATTCAATGTCTCGATTAGAACATTATTTATGAGAACTTTGATAGAAACAAAAATTCATTATGTCAAAAATTAAAGAATGGCGAACATGAGCGCCTTCTTTTGATAATTTGTTCTGATTTGTCGAAATACTGGCGTATAACCGAAATGCGCAAATATTTTAAATTCCCAAACGAGTTATACTATTGAAATTCAAAACTTAAGATTTTTATAAAAATGGGTCGAAAAGCTGTTAGTATGGATACAAAAAAGAAAATTATTATTTTATTTGAAGTTGATCTTTCAAAAACGGTGATTGCTCAACGATGCAATGTTTCACGAAATTATGTTGTTCAAACCATTCGAAAAAATGATGAAGAACATACTGTTTTAAGAAGACTCGGTGCAGGTCGACCTTCAAAACTTACTGATAGACAAAAACGTGCAATTAAATTAGAGCAATTACGTGATGATACATTATCACTCAATGCTTTAGTCAGATATACTCAAACAAATTTAGGTATAACAATCGGGCGAAGTACTGCTAGTCGAATACTTAATGAATTTGATATGATTAGTTATGTTGCACCGAAGAAACCAAAAATGAAACCAATCCAACGAAAACGTCGAATTATTTGGTGCTATGAACATCGAGGTTGGTCAAATAATGATTGGTCACAAGTCCTGTTTAGTGGTGAATCTCGCTTTGAACTAGTCAATAGAAACAACAGAATCTATATTCGTCGTTATACGCACGATAAACATCGTCTTGGACGACCATAACCACATACACATCAAGGTGGTGGTCTGAGTGTATGGGGTTGTTTAACGTATTATGGATTAAGTAATTTAGTATTTTATGAAGGCAACATGAATTCATCGAAATATATTGAAATACTTGATGCGAATTTAATGTTGGTATTCAACTTATTGCCAGCTTCATGTTGTCGACGAATAATTTTCCAACATGATAACGCCAAACCACATGTGTCGGCAAAAACAAAAGCATATTTGAAGAAAAATCGAATAAATGTATTACTGTGGTCAGCAAATTCACCGGATATTAACATGATAGAGAATGTTTGGTCGATTATTGACGATAAATTATTAAAATATTCCATATCCAGTACTGAACAATTAAAAAATGCTATGATCAAAATATGGAATGAAATTTCTATTGAAACGATTAAAAAACTTTATTCATCTGTACCAGATAGATTAGAACAAGTTATTCAACGTAAAGGTTTTTCTTGTAGCTCATAAATGTGTATTGTTTGAATATTTGTACTGTTGTCAAATAAATAAAACAAATAGGTATAGAAGAAAAATGAAACGATGCTCTCTAATTTGTGACACAATGAATTTTTGTTTCTATCAAAGTTCTCATAAATAATGTTTTAATAGAGACATTGAATAGT